TTGGGTTTACAATCCCTTCAAGTATAAATCTTTACCAGTATATCTCCCTGTAGCTCTGCTTTAATAAAACATCCAGCCTCCAGTGTACTGGCAGCACATGCTGAGACTTCTAGTTCTACTGTAGAATCTGAATGACTGGTCCTGTTCTAGATAGGAAAAGCAAACACTGCCCTACAGACAGTAAGGAAAGTCTTCCCTGCTGAATGCATGTTTATTGTTAGGAAATTCCCTTTAATAAAATGATTGCTACCATTGATGTCTTCTCTGTCCCTATCAGCCAGTGTCTGTAAAGCCTAGTACATACAGTTAGAAAATCAGACGAACAATCATATACATTTTATGATTATACCTACTATTGGGGTTCTTTGTGCTCAGTTTTTCTGGGGGATTTTTTACTGACACTAACAGCTGCCCCCTATTCCCCATTCATTCACTGGAATATGTGAATGAATAAACTACATGTCCCACCCACCACTGTAGCAGATGAACTTGTAGTATTAATGAACTGTGAGCATGCTGATTAGCACGCTTGTACTTTATTCACACTGCCTGCAGCTCAGGAACTGTCTGCCATACAGAGATATGGGCAGAGAGCTCTAGGCAGTGTCTGCAGGAGCCTGAAATTGCACCCGCTATCCATTGATTGCAGATGCAATGCTCTGAAAGTTCCAGTGAAAAAAAAAAAAAAAAAAAACTATTAAGTGCACTTTTTTCCTGCAAAAGAATGTGCATTTGTTGTTTTTCTTCACAAAGGTGAACTTTCCCTTTATTACCTAAGTGTAGATAAAATAAAAAATAGAAAAATCAGTACTAGGGACATAACTTACAGTCAGTAGGGTGTGCCCCTTGTGCTGTCCTCTTCTGTTAACAGAGAAGAATTTCTATTCATTACAATTTCTATGAATGAAATTGCATGTATGAATGGAGGGGGCAGAGCTATCAATCATCCACCCCATCCTCCATACATAGATCCTGTTTCATTCATAGAAGCTGTAGTATGTTTTTTGTGAATGGAGGAGGTGGGCAGAAAGGGTGGGGATAGTCGGGCTCTCTTGCGGAGAGTCTGTGACAGCCCCTTGGTTCTAATAACCCCTGCTGCCCTAACCTTCCAGTGGTAAAATGAACAGAGAAGGATTTCTACTAAGAGAAGAGGAATCGGCACAAGGGTCACATCCTACTGACTGTAAAGTATATCCCTCATGCTCATTTTTCTGTTTTTTAATTTAGCTACACTTAAGATGAAACCAGTGCAGCTCCCACAAAGTTTACAGCTTATCACATATATACAGTAAAAGATAACAAAGTATAGATTAAAGAAGCATGACTGCTTCTGTATTTAGTCTAATAGTACATGGGTACCTTATCTGGTAATTGACAAGTTTAATAATGTTGCTTGGAATTTTTTCATTGGATTTTGCCAATACCTCTGAATTCCCTTAATAAAATAATACAATGGGTTAGTTGTCTGACTCAATAGTGTTTACAGCGGTGGTGGCCAACTTACTCAAAATAGGGGCCTTGAGTGTGGCCCCTACCAACCTTAAAGGACCACATATAGTATTCGATGAATGTAATGCTACAAAAAGCTGTCAGAAACTATAGACATGCTAAAAAAGATGGTCAGAGACTGTGAGCATGCTAAAAGAGATGATCTGAACTGATGGACATTCTAGATAAGCTGGCCAAGACAATGGGCATTCTAGATAAGCTGGCCAGAGACGATGGGCATTCTAGATAAGCTGGCCAGAGACGATGGGCATTCTAGATAAGCTGGCCAGAGACAATGGGCATTCTAGATAAGCTGGCCAGAGACAATGGACATTCTAGATAAGCTGGCCAGAGACGATGGACATTCTACGTAAGCTGGTCAGAGACGATGGACATTCTACGTAAGCTGGCCAGAGACGATGGACATTCTACGTAAGCTGGCCAGAGACTATGGACATTCTAGGTAAGCTGGCCAGAGACGATGGACATTCTAGATAAGCTGGCCAGAGACGATGGGCATTCTAGATAAGCTGGCCAGAGACGATGGACAGTCTACGTAAGCTGGTCAGAGACGATGGACATTCTACGTAAGCTGGCCAGAGACGATGGACATTCTACGTAAGCTGGCCAGAGACGATGGACATTCTAGGTAAGCTGGCCAGAGACGATGGACATTCTAGGTAAGCTGGTCAGAGACCATAGGACATTCTACGTAAGCTGGCCAGAGACTATGGACATTCTACGTAAGCTGGCCAGAGACGATGGACATTCTACGTAAGCTGGCCAGAGACGATGGACATTCTACGTAAGCTGGCCAGAGACGATGGACATTCTACGTAAACTGGCCAGAGACGATGGACATTCTACGTAAGCTGGCCAGAGACAATGGACATTCTACGTAAGCTGGCCAGAGACGATGGACATTCTACGTAAGCTGGCCAGAGACGATGGACATTCTACGTAAGCTGGCCAGAGACGATGGACATTCTACGTAAGCTGGCCAGAGACGATGGACATTCTACGTAAGCTGGCCAGAGACGATGGACATTCTACATAAGCTGGCCAGAGACCATGGGCATGCCACATGAGTTGGTTAGAAACTATTGCCATGCTACATAAGCTAGTCAGAGACAAGGACATGTGAAAAGAGATGATCTGAACTGAAGCCATGCTACAGAAGTTGGCCAGACACAGGACATGCTTAAGGAGACAGTCTTTGACTGGATACACATTACATGAGACTGATACAGATCACTGCTATTCCGGGCCATTTACAAATCAATGCTTCCACACTCGTGCTCCCTACAGCCCCATTTCAAATTACATGTGCCATATTTGATAGTTCTCTCAGCGTAATCCCTTATAAAAGATAAGAGGAAAAAAGAAAAAAGGGATAGACAGCCAGAAAAATATATGACAGTATAAAGGGAGTTAAACCAAACCGTTTAATTACTAGAGTCAGTTTAAAGAATATATTTCCTTTGCTGGCTTGAGAAAGCACCAAAACACAGAATCCTGTCTGCAGGGGTCCCTAGGGCCACACAATAAGGCCTCATGTACACAGGATGGTTTTTTTTTTCCTCCCCTGTATCCCTTTTCTCCAAAGGAGGAAAATACAGCTTAAAAAAACATGCCTAAAGCCACAATTTTTGATACACGCTTATGAATGTTCATTTCAGCACAATTTAAAATGTAAACATTTTATTGAATCCATCCACAAAGTCATATAAAACAGGTTAGTACCATCAACAAGCAAAGTCCCTTATTGCGTTCATGCATATTTATGCGTAATTGGTGTCAATGCATTCTATTGGCTAAAATATTAATATAATCTGGCCTTTAGAATGCATTGACGCAGAAATGCGCCTAAAAGTGTTTGTGTGCTAATGCATATTTGGCATTTTTTTTCCCCAACACTCCTCTTCTGAATGCACAAGTAATGGGGTTTTTTTTCCTGCCGCTAAGTTTCTGCAAACGCCTGTGTGTGTGTGTATGGATACATAGGCTAACGCAGAGGGGTAATATATATAAAATAAAATATTATTCTGTTTGAGGATAGAGAGGTTCATCCTTAATGCTAGCAGCTACTTACAACCAAGCGCTCACCGGTCTTCTCTATTTTATTTATTGTTAACACAGAGGGGTGTTTAGAGGCAGGAAAAGTCCTGATTCCCCTATATAGATCTTTAGTTAAACGATAAATTCACCTTCTAGACAAAAATAATAAATGCACATTTTTTTTGCAGGTAAAAAAAATGTGCATTTATTATTTTTGCCTACAGGAGCCTGGAAAGCATTGCACCAGCAATCAGTAGGTCGCTGATGTCATGCAAGTCTCCTGCAGACCTGTCAGAATATCTGCTTACTGTACGGGATGTACAGTCAAGCAGATATTCTGACAGGAAGCTTCAATGAACTATCACAGTGCTCCACAGTGCCGTGATGGCTCATTGAAAACTACAAGCCCACAGCCGCTAAGGCTGCCGGGACTTGGTTCATTCATTCACAGAAGCCTGTGAATGAATGCATCATTCATTCATAAACGCTAATGCAAAAACACTAAAAAAAAGCTGAAAAACTCATGTTTTTAATGTGACTTTACACATCTAACGTTACCAGCGTTATCAAAACACCCCGTGTGCATGGAGACTAAAAAAGGCGAACTTACCCTTTAAACCTCATTTAAAATATGGTGTCCAGTTCTGGAGACCTCACTTACACAAAGATCTTGATGAAACAGAACGCGTCCAGAGATGGGCAACAAAAACCGTGAAAGGTCTGAAGGATAAAGGAGAGACTACAGGATCTTAATATCTCCAATCTGGAGAAAAGGAAGAGAAAGGGCGGACATGACTGAAACCTTTTAAATACATCACGGTTCAGGAGGGCTGTATTTTTAATATGAAGCCCAGATCAAGAACACGGGGACATGACTTCAAACTAGTAGGAGGAAAGTTTAAAACTAATCTTAGAAAGTCCACGCAATCAGACAGAGTCCTGAAGCAGTCATGATTTATTTATTTCAGGTACTTATATATCGCCGTCAATATACGCAGTGCTTTACATATATTTTGTACATTCACATCAGTCACTGCCTTCAAGGGGCGTACAATCTAAGGTCCCTAACTTACATTCATAAATACACATACTAGGGACAATTTAGACAGGAGCCAATTAACCTACCAGCATGTCTTTGGAGTGTACCTGGAGGAAACTCACGCAGGCACGGGGAGAACATGCAAACTTCAGGCAGGTGGTGCCATGGTTGAGATTTGAACCAATGACCTGAGTACTGCCAGGCAGAAGTGCTAACCATTTAGTCACTGTGCTGCCCATGATTGATGAAAGCGTTTCAAAAATTGTGTTTGAATAACAGCTGCGCAATTTCCATGTGACATACAAACTTGAGATGATCGCCATTTCATTCTCTAGGATCTTTGCTAAAAAAAAAAAAAATGATAGAGAGAGAGAGAGAGAGAGACAGAGAGAGAGAGATAATGTTTGTGTGTTATAAGCAGGGGCGGACTGACAACTCATGGGGCCCCCCGGGAAATAGGGGATCATGGGGCCCCTGTGTCCTTGCCCAAACTCAAAAAAGCCTATGAAAAAGGTACCAGGGGCATCTCATGGGGCCCCCTACTGACCCCGGGCCCTCGGGCCGTGCCCAAGTTTCCAAATGGTCAGTCCGCCCCTGGTTATAAGTAGTTTTCTAGAACAAAATACTAATTTAAGTGCCAGAAAATGCGGATGTCACCAAATCAAGAGGTGAGGACATCTTCCAATGGGCAATATTGTTTCTGTACCAACTCAAGGATGAAAATTCCCCTAACTTTGTGGAGATTTCCTCTCATTTCCTGTTGTGCTTCCAGGACAGGATGTAAAGTGAAGGGAAATCTTTTAGTAGGAAAAAAAAGACAGTACAACATAACTTCATAAGGATTTTAACCCTTCCCTACTCTATCCAAAGCTAAATTTAAAAAAAATGTGTCTGTACGTACACTTTAAAGCATCATTGGATCTCATGGGATGTTTTCAGCCAACAGAAGTTTGCTCTGTTCTAGTATTTTTAAAATTTTTGTAAATAGATGTTTTTTATTGGTTTATTTTCCTTCTGTTTCAGGACTTGTTCAGCGATGTACTCCAGTCCGATATCACTACACATCATCTTCACTGCCAACAAACCTTCCACTCAATGTCACCAAAACCATCCGGCAGGATGAATGGCACGCACTCCGTAAGTATCCCCTCACCCCCTTCATGATCTGGATGATTTCTGGTCCTTTTGCTGTCAGGATTTGGGGTTTAAGGCTTTGTTTAATAAATAGGTGTAGTATATATATCCTAAGGTTATTGTGAAATTTTATTTCAGATCCCTGCCGGTTTCATTTTTAAAGATATTATAAACATCCTTTCCTATGGGTTAGCAACATCTACCACAGTGCCAGATAAGCAGAAAGAAAATGTAGGTCAGTGCAGGGCTTGTAAACCAGCACAGCAAGCTATGCCTGTTTCCCTCGGTGATGACTCTTGACTAGCACAAATAGGAGGAGGCAAAGTCTACTGTCCAACAAAGACGCAAATTGCAATAAAAAACTAACAGAGGCTCTAGGTACACTGTGGCCCACGGGTCAGATATGGCTCTTTATCTGGTCCTCATGGCACAATTCTTGCTACTTCTGTAATAGGGAACTATTCAGTCTACTGACACAAATGCTAATAATCCTTTCACGGACACCAGCGAAAAAATTCCTCTCCTTGACACAACTGATGGGTCACGAATCCTCCTAATGCCATTGATGGGCTACAATTCCTCCCATTGACACCATTGATGAGACACAATTCCCCCACTAACACCATTGCAGGGGTACAATTCCTTCCATTGACACCATTGATGGGGTAAAATTCCACCTACTAATACCATTGATGGGGTACAATTCTCCCATTGACACCATTGATGGGACACAATTCTCCCCACTAACACCATTGGAGGGGTACAGATCCTTCCATTGACACCATTGATGGGGTACAATTCCACCCACTATTACTATTGATGGGGTACAATTCCACCCACTATTACTATTGATGGGGTACAAATCCTCCTGCTGACTTATTTAATGGGGCACTAATCCCCCCCCCACTGATGTCATTGATGGGGCACAGTTCCTCCTACTGACACCATTGATGGGGCACAATTCCTCCTGCTGACACCATTGATGGGGCACAATTCCTCCTGCTGACACCATTGATGGAGCACTATTCCTCCCGCTGACACCATTGATGGGGCACTATTCCTCCCACTGACACCATTGATGGGGCACTATTCCTCCCGCTGACACCATTGATGAGGCCCTAATCCTCACGCTGACAAAGTTGAAGGGGCACTATTTCAGCCACTGACACCAACATTGGGCATAATGCCTTCAATGGACACCATTAATGGAGCACAATTCCTCTCACTGACACCAACAATAGGGCAGAATTCCTCCCACAGACACCATTGATGGGGCACTAATCCTCCCACTGACACAACTGAAGAGGCACCATTTCACCCACTGCCACCAACGTTGGGGCATAATGCCTTCAACTGACACCATTGATAGAGCACAATTCCTCCCACTGACACCAATGATGGGGCATTATTCCTCCTCCTCCCTCTCACCACAAGCACTAGGTTATTTATTTTTATTTTACTGCCATTGAGCCTGAGGCATTGATTACTCCCATGGAGGATTGATGCCAGGGCACTTTCTACACCCACTGGCCACAATCTGGCCCACCTAAAGACTGAAACACAGGCCCTTTGTTGGACATTTGTGGACCCCTGCTCTAACGCTTCTATGCTGCTCTATCAAAAACAAAATAAGAAATCTCGGCTCAAGTTGAGCTTTAAAGGGCTTATAGGCCTAATATAAACCAATATTTGGTCTGTAAGCATGTTAAGGTAAGGCCTTTAATGGCTGGTTAATTTTATAATTTTAACAGCAAATTCAAAAATACAATCTGAGAGGTACTGGAGTTGTGACTACAGTTGGGATTGTTCTTTTATGTTGTTTTCTTTTGAGCCGGGGTTGCTCAAAGGCTCTGTTTTGTAGAGTATTTTTATAAAAACACCAAGAAAACAAATTTTTTGAAAAAAAAAAAAACTAAAAAAACCCCCCTCAAAAACCATCATGACGTCACCATTCGCCTCTCAACCTCATCCAATCAGAGATTGCTTTGCATCCATAGAGAAAATGCAAAGTGTTCCTGGAATGGCAACTGAAACTGAATGAGCAACTTTCTGTGTTCAACGAGCAGCTGGACCACCGCTTGGCATGAGATCTGGAAGCAAGTGAGATCACTATACTAGCAGTATCTACTATAGTGATTTACAGCCTTCAGGGGAATCCCACACGTATTTATTTTATTTATTTATTTCAGGTACTTATATAGCGCCGTCAATTTTACGCAGCGCTTTACATATATATTGTACATTCACATCAGTCCCTAACCCTCAAGGGGTGTACAATCTAAGGTCCCTAACTTACATTCATACATACACATACTAGGGACAGTTTGGACAGGAGCCAATTCACCTACCAGCATGTCTTTGGTGTGTGGGAGGAAACTGGAGTACCCAGAGGAAACCCACACAGGCACAGGGAGAACATGCAAACTCCAAACAGGTGGTGCCGTGGTTGGGGTTCAAACCAATGACCCTAGTACTGCCAGGCAGAAGTGCTAACCATTTAGCCACTGTGCTGCCCATACCCATACTTACATTGATGCAAACTAGACTAATGTAACAATGTAAAAAGTGTTATACCTGGAATTCACCTTGAACCAATTTATCCAATCAGAAAGTATGTAAAATAAAAGTTGGATATTTTGCCATTTATCACATTTAAGTCTTCTTTAGCCTTGATAGAGTAATAGGCTTCACAGGAGACGTGGAGATTTCTAAATACATTTCTAATTTAATCTAAATAAATTTCCATTTCAGCGCAGGTATAACTTTTATAATGATATTTGTAAATCTTATTAGTTCCTCAGTTATATAAAAAAGTTGTTTTGCAAAAATGTAATAAACATGATCATGTTAATAAAATTAAAAAAAGTGTGTTCATTAAATTTTTGCTTTCGAGCCTACAGAGCATTGCAGCTGTGATCGATGCATCGAACCCGCAATGCCTAGGCTCCTGCATTGTTTATATCCCAGCCCTTGGTCTGTACAGAGGTATGGACCTTCTGTTATGGGCTGCAGAAAGTAAACAATGGACTGCAAGTGCAATGATGTCATCTCACTTGTGCCGGCATGATATCAGAGTCCCTGTGCCGTGGTGGCAGATGAGGCTTGTAGTCTTCTGCAAGCCATACATGGGTCAAATTCAGAACAAATTTACTAGAAAATTGGAAATTTCGTGTTTTGTAATCTGATGGAGCCACCATTGATTTTGAAATTCAAACAACCAAGCCTTCAATTACAGAAAAGAATTTGTGGCCAAGAATTTTATTTTCTTTCCAGGTCACAGGTTTCCAGGCTCATTTCTTTTTCATTTATATTTCTCACAGGATTCTCCCATCATTGATTTGAAATTCATTAGTTTTTAAAAAAATTTCCAACATGCCCACTGACTCAAATTCGATGGTTGCTCGAAAATCGGCTGTTGATGTGACCCACTAATGGTGCTAAATTCAAAATAAAATTCTTAGAAAAGATTTTCGAAAAAAAATTCTTTCAGAATTCGACCCACGTATGGCTGGCTTTCCTGTTTACAGATCCCCAGGAATGGTGGACGAGGCTATGCAGGCAGGGCCATACACAGTGGGGCTAAATGGGGGGGGGGGGGGGGGGCGGTTGTAGGTTTGTGGCCATTTTTCATGCTACGTCTTAAATATGGATGTAACATGAAACATGGTATGCAGATGGACTGTGCCTTTAAAGAGTAAGTCCACCTAAAACTGATCATTCAGTGGAGAGGTTAACCATTTGACAGTTTCCTATATCTCTTAGGGACTTTCTTGTGGAGATCTCTACTCTGAGTTCCCGGACCTGCACACCCACAATGCCTGCTGAATTTTTCATTATTTCATAAAGCATGAACCAGGAGCAGGAACACACAAAGGTGCTATAGGAACAGAGCCGGGAATTGTGTCAGGTAGATATCCCCACTGAATTATCAAAGATGCCAAGGGCTGATTGATCCAGCCACACCATCTGTAACCAAACTATCATTTGTGGGTAAACTGGTCCTTTACAAATCCCCCCAGGCTTTGTATATACTGTACATGTGAACATAATCATCCTGGTAAAAAATCTGACCAGTAGGTTGATGTTTTAATAAATGTTTATCTAGTTGGAGTTTGCAGCTTGTTCCATATGCAGATTATGCTTCCTGCTTAGTAGCAGAGCACAGTGACTGTGTTGTACTGTTCCTCTTTCTCTGCAAGCCTCTCAGTCTGTTCATTGTGATTAAAAACAGTACAGAGTCTAAGTGGTCTAATTGCCTATAGATTTTTTTTTTTTTTGTAGATAATAATTGTTCAGTAACAAGGTGATTGTGGTGTCTTCCATAAAGAAGTAATTGGGAGGATAGAGGGAGAATTTCTATCTGGTCAATAGCTTGGGGGAAGGAGGACTGGGAACCTTTGGTCTGGGAAGCAAACACAACCAATGGATTCTTCAGTAGAAGGACAATAGAAAAATTGCACCACACAGTGTGTGCCACGGTTCCATAGTGATGGCCATGGTATACGGTGTAAGCAGTCCTAAAAAAAAGTGGTTTTATTCTAGCACATCTTTTACATATAGTATATACTGTATGTATGCTAAAAAAAAAAACAAGCGGGATTTGAAGTTATTCTAAAGTCATTTTTTTTATGCCAAATATTTCATACTTACCCGCTCTATGCATTGGTTTTGCACAGAGCAGCCCCAATCTTCCTGTTCTTGGGTCCCCCACTGGTGTTCCCAAGCTGGCTTTGTGTGGCCATTGACATACAGGGTGCGGCAAGGCTCGGCCTCTCCCTCCTCACTGGCTGTGATTGAGAGTAGTGGGAGCCAATGGCTCTCTGTCCAATGAGCGGGGTGACGGCAGAGAGAGCGCTTGATCAAAATCTGGCTCAGGTAAGTTTTGGGGGGGAGAGGGGGGCTGGGGGTGAAGCTGCATGCAGGAGGTTTTTTTTTACCTTAATGCATAGAAAGCATTAAGGTAAAAACCTTCTGCCTTTAGACCCACTTTAAGCAGATGAAGAAAAGTACAGGAGGAAGTACTTTTGAGAGCTGAACAAGATTACTGCCTCTCTGTGAAAATAATATAGACTCCCCTATATAAAAATAATTTAATACCATGCCATCACTACAAATGATCCTTATTTACTCTTAGATTGTAAGCTCCAAGGATCGGCCCTCCTAACCCTCTTGTATTGAACTGTATTGTCTCCCGTTATATTGTAAAGCACTGAGCAAACTGTTGGCGCTATATAAATCCTGTATAATAATTTAGCTTTGTTCAATAAATGAAAATATCTTCCAGCTTTGCTTTCTTTTGCAGTTGTCTGCATCTCAGAGCTCATAAAGGAGGTCCATGTTGGAAGCTCACAGGTCTGAACAGGCAGCAGATAGCTACAGGGCGAGGAAGAGGAATCTGCCTTCAGTGCTGTCCTTGGTGGGGGGGCACAGCTGGTAGTGGGAGCCTCTCCTGCCTCCACATTGCCCTGGATATCTCCAGCGCTGTGCAGGTCCAAGGTGTCAAACTGACCGTCTAGTCCTGCAGATTACACTGGAAGAGCGCCACTCTCCTCCTGTAGACAGAGGAGCTCTGCTGTCAGTGTGACAGCCGCCAGCTCTGTATCTTCAGTGCTGTGTGCACCTGGTAAAGTGAGCACAATGAACAGCTGTCAAAGTGGCAGCAGTGCTAAACTGATTACAGAACAAGAGCCACCCTCTCCCAGTGTTCTCTGCAGGACTGAGCTGTCAGTTTGATCGGTCACTGCTGCGCCTTGCGCTATCTTGGCCTCTATGTGCGGATGTGCAATCTCCATCCAACCTAGGTGGGGGAGGGGTGCACTTTTGCATCCATGCCCTTGCATACTGACAGATCTTATCCCAGCACTGGATCGTTATATAACACCCAGCATCTGAATGTGGGTCCTGCTCTTATTGGGATTTAAAGCGGAGTTCCACTCCCTCTGTAAAAAAAATAAAAGGCAGCAGCTACAAAAACTGTAGCTGCTGATTTTTAATAACAGCCACTCACCTGTCCCACCATGCCCCTGCAACAGCCCATTTCACCGGCCGTCCTGTATTCCAGGCGCTGGCATCTTCGGTGTGGGAACCCGGCTGTGACAGCTTGCGGCTTCACAGGCGGGTGCCCACTGCGCATGTGCGAGTAGCGCTGCTCTTCCTGAATGGCCCTGTCATCTTCTGGGACCTGTCACGTGTCCCACAAGACTACGAGGAGGGAGGATAGAAGGACAACCTCCACTTCTGATCACCCAGGCAATTGCAGCGGAAGTGGGAGTGGGTTCCTGTCAATTTCGGTACACTGTCCCCCCACTGGTCCCCCACTCCCCATTAATGATTGGCACCTTTAGGGAGCGGGGGACCAATCTTTAAAGCAGAACGTCTGGAATGAGGTAGTATTCCTGATAGATAGATAGATAGATAGATAGATAGATAGATAGATGTCTCAATTGTACAGGCCTGGGAGGAAAAAGCACACCTACCTACCTACCCCACCCTCTTCCCCCAGTCCAGTCCTCTCCTCATCTGCAATATCCGAAATATGAAACAGCAAATGTAAAGGTCACATCTGATAAACCTGACAGTAATAACTCAAAGTAATACACAAATACACAATCATTTTCTGCTAATGCTGAACAGCTGACCCTGAAGTTGCCCCCTGACCAATGATGCAGTGACAATGTACATGCCATTAACTCTCTTGTGTCTTTTTTTTTTCTCTCCCTCCCCCAGACCTGCGGCGGATGACAGCTGGCTTCATCGGAATGGCGGTGTCTATCATCCTGTTTGGGTGGCTGATAGGGGTGCTGGGCTGTTGTAAGCAGCATGACCTAATGCAATATGTGGCCGGGCTGCTATTTCTCATGGGAGGTAAGAGTTTTCACTGCTCTCTGGGTCAGCCAGAAGAAGCTAATTATCAGCTATTGACTTTGTCTTTTAACAAAGAGATCATAGATGGATGGAGACTCCTCCAGATGAGCACGGAGGAGGAGGAGGTGGTGTACCGCAGTCAATTATTGAACCCCTTGGGAGACCATCTTTACTTGTTACGCTAGCTTTTATCCCATCAGCCCTTTGTATAGATATAATCTCTTGTCCGCCCCGCCACCCAAAAAAAAAATTCAAGGTGAAGAAATAAACTTTATTTAGGGCCCTGCACACACCTTGTTCAGGGGTTACCTGCCTGGCTGTGCAATGTGACAACATATAAATCCATTTCTCTCAACTCTAAAAGGTAATATTTATTATAAATGATAAAAAAATACGTTCCCCACTGCAAAACTCACCTTCTCTCCAGTGCTCTCCCCCCTCAGAATGTCAGCCTGTCCACTAGATGGCACTCATCTTGAGGGTCTGGTTCTCATTCAGCTCACCTCCTGTGAGCCCACGCCACCAAAGCACACCTCATGGGGGTTCACTGGGCTTCAAAAGAGGCATATAATAGAGAGGAATGGAAATATATTCCTGTGCAATTATTAGTAGTACATAGCATTAGTAAGCTATAGCATTAGTAAGACCTCATCTTAAATATACAGTACGGTTCATGATACCAGATCACATAATTTAGGGGGAGTACAACTGGGGATTCAATGGTGAAGAAGGATCTGGGGGTTCTGGTAGATCACAAGCTTAATAATGACATGCAATGCCAAGCTGAGGATTCTAAAGCGAGCAAAATCCTCTCTTGTATTAAAAGAGGTATAGACTCCAGAGAGAGAGATATCATATTACCCCGGTACAAATCATTAGTAATACCTCATCTGGAATATGCAGTTCAGTTTTGGGCACCAATTCACAAAAAGAACATTGGGGAACTGGAGAAAGTACAGAGAAGGGCAACCAAACTGATAAGAGGCATGGAGGAGATCAGCTATGAGGAAAGATTAGAGGAACTGAATTTATTCTCTCTTGAGAAAAGGAGATTAAGGGGGATATGATCACCATGTATAATACATAAGGGGGGGGTATGATCACCATGTATAATACATAAGGGGGGATATGATCTCCATGTATAATACATAAGGGGGGATATAATCTCCATGTATAATACATAAGGGGGGATATAATCTCCATGTATAATACATAAGGGGGGATATGATCTCCATGTATAATACATAAGGGGGGGATGATCTCCATGTATAATACATAATGGGGGATATGATCTCCATGTATTATACATAAGGGGGGATATGATCTCCATGTATTAATACATAAGGGGGATATGATCTCCATGTATAATACATAAGGGGGGGATATGATCTCCATGTATAATACATAAGGGGGGGATATGATCTCCATGTATAATACATAAGGGGGGGGATATGATCTCCATGTATAATACATAAGGGGGGATATGATATCCATGTATAATACATAAGGGGGGGATATGATATCCATGTATAATACATAAGGGGGGATATGATATCCATGTATAATACATAAGGGGGGATATGATCCCCATGTATTATACATAAGGGGGGATATGATCCCCATGTATAATACATAAGGGGGGATATGATCTCCATGTATAATACATAAGGGGGGATATGATCTCCATGTATTATACATAAGGGGGGATATGATCTCCATGTATATTACATAAGGGGGGATATGATCTCCATGTATATTACATAAGGAGGGATATGATCTCCATGTATAATACATAAGGGGGGATATGATCTCCATGTATAATACATAAGGGGGGGATATGATCTCCATGTATAAATACATCAGTGGTTCATATAGTGAACCTGGTGTACAGCTATTCACCCTGAGGTCATCACAGAGGACAAGGGGGGCACTCTTTACATCTGGAGGAAAAGAGATTTAATCTCCAAATACGGAAAGGTTTCTTCACAGTAAGAGCTGTGATTAACATGTGGAATAGACTCCCTCAAGAGTTGGTTCTGGCCAGTTCAGTGGATTGCTTTAAAAAGTCCTGGATTGTTTCTTAGATACACAGAATATAAGGGGGGATACTAACAATTATAGGAAAAGTTGATTCAGGGAATATCCCATTTGTCTCTTGGGGATCAGGAAGGAATTTTATTCCCCTGCAGGAGCAACTTGGATCATGCTTTGCTGGGTTTCTTTTTGCCATCCCCTGGATCAACTGTGGGTATAGGATTAGAACTTTTTTTTTTTTAATGGCTGAAATAGATGGACTTTTGTCTTTTTTTCAGCCGGACTGACTATGTAACTGTGTAACATAAAAGGATTTTGCAGAGCTGAAAAGGGTGCAGAGCAGGGCAATTCAATAGATAAGGATTATGGAGGACCTCAGGTATAACATATGGAAAGCTTTCTTTACAGTAACAGCAGTTAAAATGTGAAATGTCCTATTGTGGATACAGTGAGTGTTTTTTACACTTAGTTTTGTTGTCACTTTAGTCATAAAAGTATTTAAAAAGATAACTGCAGACTAGCAGATGGTTTGATATTTATTGAGTACATCTCATGAGTTTAAAATGAGAATATTGCATAATCTACTGTCTGCAGCCTGTGAGGAACAAAGCACACGGGTTATACAGTATGCATACTTACCAACATTATGGTCCCATATCCCGGTACACTGTTGACCTTGCCTATAGTTCACATTTCATCAGCCCACTTTCTACATGGGCGAGCCCAAATCACACCTACTTTATGGGTTGGTCTCACCCAGATCTCTCCTCTGAGTTTGCAGGGACTGCCCATCACACCACTTTATGGGTTGGTCTCACCCAGACCCTACCTCTAATTATGCGAAGACAGTCCACTCACAATGAATGCCTTTTTTGAGTTACTGCGTATGTTCAGTAACTCAAATATGGTTGATGCTGTGACCCCAGGACATGGCCCAGAACACAGCATGGGGGACAGAGAGAAAGATGCAAAATTATCCCAGGAAATCCAGGTTAGTTGGTTGGCATACAGTTGCAAGAAAAAGTATGTGAACCCCTTGGGATTGTTCTGTGCCAGTTCAGTGGGATATGTGGTGTTTTGCATGAATTGGGCATAAAAATGTGCTCTGAACGTCATCTAAGTCACAACAATAGAAGAACACAGTCTGCTGAACATAATACTACACAAACATTAGATGTTGCCATGGTTTAATTGCACATAACATGTAAACATTCACAGTGCAGGGAGGAAAAAGTATGTGAACCTTTGGACTTAATAACTGGTTGACCCTCCTTTGGCAGCAATAACCTCAACCAAACGTTTCCAATAGTTGCAGATCAGACCTGCACAACGATCTGGAGTCATTTTGGACCACTCCTCTTCTCAAAACTGTTTCAGTGTAGCAATATTCTTGTCTGGTGTGAATCGCTCTCTTAAGGTCATGCCACAGCATTTCAATCGGGTTGAGGTCAGGACTCTGACTGGGCCACTCCAGAAGGCGTATTCTGTGCTGTTGCAGCCATTGTTTTGTTGAATTACTTGTATTCTTTGGGTCATTGTCCTGTTCCATCACCCATCCTCTGCAGAGCTTCAGTTGGCGGACAGATGGTCGTATGTTTTCCTGCAAAATGTCTTGATAAACTCTGGAATTCATTTTCCCATCAATGACAACAATCTGTCCAGGCCCTGAGGCAGCAAAGCAGCCCCAAACCATGATGCTCCTCCGCCATGTTTTACAGTGGGGATGAGGTTTTGATGTTGGTGTGCTGTGCCTTTTTTTCTCCACACATAGTGTTGTGTGTTCTTCCCAAACGACTCAATCTTGGTTTCATCTGTCCACAGTATATTTTGCCAGTAGTGCTGTGGAACATCCAGGTGCTCTTTTGCAAACTTCAAACGTGCTGCAATATTCTTTTTGGACAGCAATGGCTTCCTCCGTGGTGTCCTCCCCTGTACTCCATTCTTGTTTAATGTTTTCCTTATTGTAGATGTGTCAACAAAAATGTTAGCATGTGCCAGAGATTTCTGTAGGTCTTTAGCTGACACTCTGGGATTCTTCTTTACCTCATGCAGCATTCTGCGCTGTGTTTTGCAGTCATTTTTTACAGGACGACCACGCCTAGGGAGAGTAGCAACAGTGCTAAACTTTCTCCATTTGTAGACAGTCTGTCTTACCGTGGACACATGAACATCAAGGCTTTTGGAGATACTTTTGTAACCCTTTCCAGCTTCATGCAAGTAAACAATTCTTGATCGTAGGTCTTCTGAGAGCTCTTTTCTGCGAGGCATGGTTCACATCAGACACATCTTGAAACCAGTAAACCCAAAACAGGTGTGTGTTTTTTAAGGGCAGGACAGCTGTCAGCAACACATCCAATATCGTCACACTGATTGGAGTCAAGGTTGGCTCACTCCTGGCTCCAATTAGCTCTGGGAGAAGTCATTAAGCTAGGGCCTCACATACTTTTTCCTCCCTGCACTGTGAATGTTTACATGTTATGTGCAATTGAACCCATGGCAACATCTAATGTTTGCGTAGTATTATGTTCAGCAGACTGTGTTCTTCTATTGTTGTGACTTAGATGACGTTCAGAGCACATTTTATGCCCAATTCGTGCAAAACTCCACGTAATCCCAAGGGGTTCACATACTTTTTCTTGCAAATCTGTATATGGTCATATACAGTGGGGATCAAAGTTTGGGCACCCCAGCTAAAAATTTGTATTAATGTGCATAAAGAAGCCAAGGAAAGATGGAAAAATCTCCAAAAGGCATCAAAATACAGATTAGACATTCTTATAATATGTCAACAAAAGTTAGATTTTATTTCCATCATTTACACTTTCAAAATAACAGAAAACAAAAAAATGGTGTCTGCAAAAAGTTTGGGCACCCTGCAGAATTTATAGCATGCACTGCCCCCTTTGCAAAGCTGAGAACTGCCAGTGTCATGGATTGTTCTCAATCATCATCTCTGGAAGACCAGG